AAAATAGCGTTGCGTGTATATATGAACGATAGTGTAGTCTTAAACTACTAGTACTTGAATCTTTGTAACATCATAAAATTTTTTTATAACAGTTTAACTGTTATAAAAAACCATTTAAAGATGAAATATGCAAAAATATATTGTAATATATATAGAACTTAAAATGCATAAATTCTTATGAATTCAACTTATATCTAGTTAATTTTTTTATTAGTCAAATAAAAAAATATGCTCTAGCATGTTTTGATTGTCCTAATAATAATAATAAGCATTCATTATAGGAAAATTTTAATTAAAATGCTTATCTCTATGTTTAAATATTGTAAGTTGTCCAAAATTTGTGCTAAATTAAAATTATATAATTAATACATTTAAATATGTTTAACGAAAATTTAAATATAACAAAGAAAATAAAACAATAATATAAACAATAACAATGTATTAAAATATAAACTTACAACCATAAAATTATGAATACATATATTACGTTTAACTTAGCGCTTTAAAATTATATTTTTAAATCCAGAAGAATAATCCTTTTTCTGCGAAGAAAACTTCCAACAATTTCAAAATAAACATCTGCTAATATTAATCTGCTAAACGCTCAAAATAAAAGAAATACAATAACTAAGCAAGAGTATAATCAAATTGTCTCTTGTCTAGAACAGTCAGACACATTTGCAATCTTATAATTTAACGTTTGTAATGGATAATCAAAGGAAAAGAACCTTAAGTTCAAGTTCTTCATGGGAAGAGAAGTGGTTCATAATGAAGCATGACAATCAAGCGCAATGTTTGATCTGTGGAACCATTATGAATTTAAAGAAATATAATGTCGGAAGACTAAAGATCGGACTAAAAGCAAACAATTTTATTGCTTTTTCATTAGCTCTCGACGAGAGTACTGATATCGTTGATATTGCACAATTGGCAATTTTTATTCGTGATGTGAATAGCAACTCTCTATTACTGAGGAACTTTTAAATATAACACCTCTGAAAGATACTACGACTGGAGAAGATATATTGTTTAGCGTTGAAGAAGCAATAGAAAACATAAATTTATCTTGGGATAAATTAACTTCAGTTGCTACTGATGGTGCAATGATTGGACACAATATGGGCTTCGTAGGATGTTTAAAGTCTAAACTAGCACAATCAAAACAAGAAATACATTCGATCTATTGTATCATCCATCAAGAGGCATTATGTGCAACATCTTTAAAGTATGACGAAGTAATGAAAATTGTAATCAAAATTGTAAATTTTATTAGAACTACTGGATTGAATCATCGTCAATTTCACGAATTTTTATCTTCTTTAGAGTCAGATTATACTGATATCTCCTATTTTTGCGAAACACGATGGCTTAGTCGAGGTAAAACTCTTTCTTTTATTTACGCGAAGAAATAATTATTTTAATAATTTTTAGAAATGAAAGATAAGTCTGTGCCTGAACTATCACAGTCTTCCTGGATTGCCAATCTCGCCTTTCTTGCGAATATCACTAATCATTTAAATATATTAAATTACTCTCTACAAGGCAAAGATAAATTAATTATTCATATATTTGATCAAATTAGATCTTTTAAAATGAAACTTAATTTATGGATCAATCAATTTCAATCTCGACAGTTGTTGCATTTTTCAAATTTATTATCTGTTGCCATGCACATTCAAGATAAGCAATATGAAGAATATATAAATTTCACTTCAATTATTACATAATGAATTCGATTGTCGGTTTAGGGAAATGCATGTTTAAAAGAAGACTTACTTATTTTTATGATATCTTTTACTGTTAATATTAATATTGTTCCCGCAGATATACAATTAGAATTAATAGATTTAAAATGTGACACTGCTCTTAAAAATCGTTTTGATACAATTACTGACATCGTATAATTTTATTCATATATATCTCAAGAAGTCTTCCTCGATTACATGCTCGTGTTGCAAAAATAATGAGTATGTTCGGTTCTACATATTCATGTGAACAATTATTTTCTATTATGAAATTAAATAAATAATAATAAATCGCGATTACGCGAACAGTTAACAGATTCATATTTAAATGCAATAATTTTAAGTTATGCCAAAACGATAATACCTGACATATCATATATAATATCGGAAAACTGAATATGAATCAAATATTAATTAAATGTTATAAAAGTTGCTTATTTAATATTATTGTAAGAATGGTTTATTTAAAATATAGATAGTTACTAATTTATGCTAATTCTGGGTCTGAATTTGTGCAACACAATATTTTTTTACTTTGAATAGCACGTTCAACGAACAGACGTTCCTGCTATCCCCTCTCCTCACTTTATTGCGTCTAGCCGCCTAACGCTAGCCCCAGCGCGCTCGACTGTTGCCCGCGGGCATTGAGCGTCCGCGAGCAATGCTCACTTGCCGACCGCTGAAGTAAGATAACGAATGTCACGTCAAAAATTAAAATTGTAAATAATTACTTTTGTTCTATCTTAAATTTTATATTTTATTTTAAATTGTGTAATTATAAACAATTCTTATTTTTGATTTTCTCCAAACTTTATTTTATTAAAATTATTATAAATATTTTTTATTCATATATTTATTTATTTGTATTTTATTATATTATTCAAAAATTATAATAACAGAATAATAAAAAATAATATAAAAAAGTTCATTAAAAAAATGAATTTTTATTCACAAAACAATTAATTTCAATCTTTATCATCTTATCTGTTACAAAAAATCGTCTTACCCAATCACGAATTTGATATATTCTCAAAGAATTTAAACACATTTATACAAAATTATATAATATCTAATCTATTATATAATATCCAAATTTTATATAATCTTATATAATAGAGAAGAGTACTGTGATTGGCGTTATCGCTACTTTGTAAATGATGAACTTGCGAAATGCTAAAGACTGATAACAGCATTACTGCGATCTATTGACAGGTTGTATGACAGTCGTGATGGACAGTTATATTATTCTTTATAACTTTATTCTATTAAAACTTTCTTTCTCATATTCAATAAAATATTACTTAAAAATATATTATTTCATTTTAAATACAAGTATATTGCTACGGATATCAGATGAGTAGGCCATTTTTATTTGTCAATAATGCGTGCGCAGTAAAGGACAGATATTCCTCGATATTTTGCTTCTCTCATCGTTTTGCCAAACCCAACTGGTATAGAAGAATATATGGTATGCGGGGTCTACATTATATGTCTAGTTATAAGGCTCATTACACGTGAAATGCATGGCATAATAAAAGATATTTATAATTCTTAGAATTAAAATAAAAAGATGAAGAGTAAGTTGAACCGAGATTAAAATTAATCTACATTGGTGGAATCGGGCATTATCGACTAAGTTTATCGCTTTATCTGCTTATAGACAGTGCTTATAAGCAATGTTAAGGCCGTAAGATATGGTGTCAGATATGGTGTAAAGAAACAAGGGCTGGATTCCGTAAAGCGTATATGCGCGCATTTTATTACAGTATACAGTATACATATTACAGTATAGGTATTTACCTATAATTCATGTCACGTGCACTGGAAAGACCAATAATCACCGATCGTATACTGATCGCTTTGTTCCGCTGAATGTATTTTCAATTGTTCCAAATAATTATAAGCGACGAAAAATAAAAGAGACTAGATATTACGTTTTCTCTATCCTGATTAGACATTTTAAATTTTGATTTTATTTAACGTGCGTCATGACAATTCTATCAAGGATAAAGATAATGAATAAAATAATGAGATAAAAAACAATTCTAACATTTTTATAATCTTTTTTGTTTATCACAGCATGGCTAACGATAAGAAATACTTTTGATTATTTCGATTATTTATTATTTTGATTATTTCTTTAAAAATTTATTTAATTAAAGATTTGTTCTAATGTAAAATTGCGCGAATAATCATCTTTAATTTAAAATTGATAAGTTAGCGCGACACACACACACACACACACACACACACACACACAACAAAACACACACACACACACACACAACAATATACACTCGCTCACTCTCTCTCTTACGCTTATCTTTCATATATTTAAATATATACTTAGTTAACTTTTTACATATGAGAAATTAAGAGGAAGGAAAGAAAAAAAAAGACACAAAAGATATTTGTATGTAAATAGCATAATTTATGTTTCTTCTACAATTCATCTTTATCTTCTATAACCGTCCAGTCCTCCTTGATGAAATCTGCACCTTTTTCGGCTATCATTATCGTCGGCGCGTTCGTATTTCCTCCAGTAATTGTTGGCATAATAGATGCGTCAATGACTCTCAGTTTTTGTATTCCGTGAACCTTTAATCGAGAATCCACGACGGTTGTTGGATCGTTTTGAGGACCCATCTTTGCTGTTCCTACGGGATGGAAAAGCGTGGACGACATATGTCGCAAGTTACATCTCCAATATTCATCGGAATCAGGTTTTACGTAACGACAATCAGGAATGTCCAGATGACGCAGCCGCACTTTGTGACGTTTGAACGTCTCGGTGTTGAGCATCTTCTTTAAAAAGTCCAAGGATTTCAACATTGTGTCTACATCTTTCTGCTCGGAGAAATAATTGGCGTAGATTCTAACAGGATCCGCTGGATTTTTGCTACGTAACAATATTTCACCAACGCTCTTCGGTTTTAAAAGAACTGATAAAGGTTGAAGTATGTCTGCTTCTGTCAAAATTTGCGCCATCTCCCGAGCTATCTCTGTATCTATGTGCAAGCTGTTAAGAATATTTATCATCTCGTACTCATGCCATTGCGATATATGGAGATGAATAAATTGAATGTCGGGATATTTTGCTTCTAAATCATGTACATTGACGAAACCCATGAGATCGTAGCCACTGCTACTTGCCAAAGGTCCTTGATTGTACAATAAGTACTTGTAAGCTATGTCTAGAATGTACTTAGATGATGGTTTTGGTGTCGCGCTCTCATTCTTATAGATTAAATGTAAGCCGTACCACGTAACATGATCTTGAAGATTTTTGCCGACAGGTAAATCAACAACACTAGATATTCCCATTTCGCGTAGATGCTTTTCGGGCCCAATACCGGAAAGCATTAAGAGTTGCGGACTGGCGATGCTACCAGCCGATAGGATTACCTCTTTTGAGACTTTTATGTTGATCGATTTTTTATTCTTTAAAGTCACGCGAACCCCGATTGCTCGAGTATTATCCAAAAGAATAGCGTCAGCTCGAGTGGACTTCATCACGTAAAGATTGCTCCTATTCCTGATCGGCGACAGATAGGCTTTCGAGACGCTCATTCTACGACCTTTATCCAAAGTTCCTTGAGCTATGCCGTATCCGACAAATTTGTCACTGTTGATGGTATCTAGAATAGGCACACCTAAGTCGCGAGCGGCGTTAAAAATCATTTCATATACATCTGGTTGGCTATAATTGTAATATCTGATACGCAACGGTCCTCCATAACCGCAATATTTGCTTTGCCACATGTCGTTACGTTCATGACCGCAGCTTTGAGATTTCTTAAAGTATGGCAGAACTTGATCATAACTCCAGCCTTCGTTACCCATGCGGGACCATTCATTGTAATCTTCATCACTACCGTAAATATAAAGCATGGCATTTAGCGTCGAAGAGCCACCAAGAGCTTTGCCTTTTGACCATTTACACGTCTTGTTTTTATAACCTTGGCAAGCGAATTTCTCATTTTCAACATTGTAGGCATAATCCTCCGGTGATTGTAATTGTGAGGGAAAAAGCCCAGGAACTTCACTAAACAGTGAGGGATTTTCACCAGCTTCGATCAGTAATATCTTCCAGTTTTCTATTTCGCTCAAACGATTGGCCAGCACAGATCCGGCGCTTCCACCACCCACGATTACGAAATCAAATTCTGTATCGGAAATCGCAATTTCTTCTGAACGGTCTGGAGGATAAATATCATCGTTCAAGCTACATTGCGCCATTAAAAGCGTTTGTATCAGATATATGAAGACATTCGCAGAAGAATCACCCATTGCAGCTGTAAAGTTTGCAGCATTAGCCAAACATGTCTCCATATTGGACACCAGTTGGATGCACGATTTAATTCTATGAACACAAAATATATAGTTATATTAGATTATATGTAGTTCGATGTGTAGTTGTAGGTATAGAAAAGTCATTGAGACAAAAGATCAAATCAAATTAACAAATAAAATACATTTAATTTTTAAAATAACATTTAATATTTAATTTTTGGTATAAATTAGTAATACAAACACAAATTTGCTCAAAATTTCAAGATTTTTGATGTTTTAATGGAATAACTTTAGATATCAATATTGAATGCGCGCCAATATTGAATGCAAACGAGACGAATAAAATTTTTTTCTAATAAATAAAGTATAATGTTTCATTTTGAAGAAATTATTTCTTTTATTATACACTATTTTTGTGTCTTTATTTTATGTTATCCTCATCCACGAAAATTTTTTTTCAAAATTCTCCAACGCAAAACTGATTCATTCAGCTTTATCTTTAAATGATTATCTTTAAATATTATCTTATTTTACCTTATCTTTAAATGATGATAACAATTATTCTCTGTACAACCTTACAAAACATATTAATTTTATTCTTTGGTTTTATTCTCTTATATAAGCATTTTATATAAGCACGAAGGCTTGCATAATAAAATCAACAATTATTTGAAGAAAAGAAGAAAAAGTATAAGTAAACTTGCCACTTGTGTATCATGATTTATTCAATATTTTATATATTAATGAAAATTCACGAGCTCGAATCAAAATAAGATTTCAGAACACTAATTCTTTTAATTTTAATTACCCAACTTATGTTGTCGTCTAGAAATTTCGATATTCACTAGAGGTTTGACTGAAGATGTTGATAACTGACTCGACTAACTGAATCTGGTGATCTTGGATATTTGAAATAATTTTTCCAACTTTCCAAGATATATTCATTGTAATAATAATAATAATAATAATAATAATAATAATAATAATATAAAAATACGAGGAGTAAAAGTAGGGATGTAAAGACGATAACATATCTTATCTTTTAAGCAACGAATCAACTCATGCATTTAAAATTAAACTCAAGTCTTTTAAAATTACTGATAGAGTGCAAAATTATCAAAGAGTATACAGAGTATTCAAATAATCCTGAAATGACAAGATATCTCGAAAACAAAACATTAAAAAAAAATTAAAAAGAAACATATTAATTAGAAAAGTTGTTGACTATTAAACACCATTATTACATTAGATGGATATAACAGTTTTTTATTTGACAAGGTCAAACTGTTATGCCGATCCAATATACTTAATAAAATCCAAGATTTTTTAAACAGTCTATTTTATCATAAATATTTCAGAAAAATTATCAGAAATATTGAATACTTTTATTTAAGTAAAATTTGTTTTATTTGTCTATTTATAAAGATTAAAAAAGGTTGGTGATGTATTTACCGGCTATCTTATATGAGCAAGAGAACAAAAAAGAACTTCTCTGTATCATAACTTTCAAAATTTTCTTTATTGCATTTTTGACATAAATACAATGTAGATTATATATTCTTGAATTATTCAACGAAGTGTATACATAACGGCTTGTTTACTGTTAAACTAATCTTTGGACTAGGATTGAATTTCATTATCACTAACACGATTCGTTATCACTAACACGATTGTATTTTAAAGTGCAATCTTTTTTAAAAGCATTATAGTATTTAAATTGATAAGAAACTAAACTTTACCTGAGACATTATATTTATAAATATAATAATAACACTGTTGGTGACTAAATAATAAATTTAATCTGTAACTGTTGCTCCGAATTGTGAGCGAACTCTACATGTATTATTAATCGATATTTGCGAGCGAGATAACAAATGAGAGACCACGATGTGTCATTTATTAAGTAGGATAATATTTGATATTATATAAATAGACAAGCATGCGAAAAGACAAGAAGTCGAGATCGAGTAAGCGAATTGAGCAAATTGTAGTACGCAATTGTAATACGCAAAATAAAGACTTTAGTTGGAGAAATGATTCGAGTATCTATTACAAGCCCGTACAAACACTCAGCATACAGATATTTCAAAAATATTATTTGTAAAAAGAAAAATTTACCGAGATTGGAAATGAATTGGTTTTCTTCTTTTCCTCCTTTTTGTATAACTATATGATTCAATACAGGATTAAAACAGACCAGAAGACACTGATGGTGTGTCCGAACAAAATCAAGAAAAAGATGAACAAGAAAGAATGCGAAAGCACGAAACCGAATCAAAAATTTTGCGTAAAGACAAAGTATATCTAAAAATGAATCGATCAAATGACAACAGACACAGTTCGACTTAAACTAATGTTTCTTCGCAACAGCCTTATGCGTCTTCATTCGCTAGCAGATGACGATTGCAAAATATTGAAAGTCTTCCCTCTCTTTTCTCTGTGTTTTTATACCGTTATCTTTATGATTTGTTTTTATAACTCGTCTCGATGCCAGGTTTATGCACAGCGAAACTCGTATCGAATAGCGGTAAGATGTCCGTGGCTCTACATACATAAAATATTAAGATAAATAGAAATCATATAGTCCAAGAA